CTTTCAGAACAGAGTCGAGGAGGAGGACGCAGCCCCCCCTCCACGGAGGAGAAGCCCCGCCGAGCCAGCAGGGGAGGGACGACAGCGAGAACATGGCAGCCAGATCCAGCCCAGCCTCGTGGCTGGTCTTCTCCTGAGAACTGACGTCACAGGGCAAAAAAGCTGGTGCAGGCGAGGAGAGGTGGGAGGAGTCAAAGACCTACCAGCGGCGAGAGCAGAGAGAGGAGCGCGAGAGTTAAGAGGCGATAGGGACCAACTGCAGCCCAGGTGTTCCCCATCCGGGCAGCACCAGGTGAAGGGGCATCTCAGGGGTTGGTCGCTGTCCCCGCTCAAGCCAGGGGCCCACTTTTTCTGACCCTCTCCTTAGGGCTTGCCTCACAGTGGCTTCCTGAAGCCCAGGCCTCTCTGTCCTCTCATCCTTTGTCCCCAGCCTTCAGTCTGGGCTCTGTCCTCTCAGCCCAGAGTCTGGAGGGCGGCATCTATTCCCCTACATTCCCGAGGTCAGGCTCTACTCTCAGCCCAGAATCTGGAGGGGGGCGTGTATCCCCCCCAGCCCTGAGGTTGGGATCCAGCTCTGGGCCCCACGCCCTCAGCCACTGGCAGCGCCTTGACTATCCTCTCTGTGGCCACTAGGTGGCAGGCTTCCCCGGGGCCAGACGGGGTGGGGCTGTCCAGCCCAAAGCTTTTGGACCCTCCTTCCCCAGACTGAAGTAGCCAAGGAAAGGGGTTCAGGGGAGGGGGAGACTAAGGTAGAGAGCCAAAGGGGTGGGGGGCTCAGGGGCGGGGGAGACTGAGGCTGCCGGCAGAGGAGACTCATTGAAGTAAAGAAAATAGAAAACTTTATTGGTTTGGAGTGTTGGTAGGCGTGCCCCCGGGAGCAGCTTTTCCAAGGCGCAGGTGTTGGCAGGGAAGGTGTTCAGGCTGCTGGGCCTGGGCGTCCACCTCCGTGGCACAGAGGTCAGCGCGGCCTGAGGGACACCCACGCGGGGAGTGTGGCTGCAGCTTGGGGGAAGCGCCGGAGGAGGATGCCTGGCTCTGCTCCTCCACTTGGGCCAGCCACTCCCCCAGCCTGGCCTCAGTCTCCTCATCTGAACCACAGGCATCCTGAGGGCTCCTTCCCAGGGTCGCCATGAGGATCTGTGCAAAATGCCCGCAGTGCTGGGCACTGGGAGGGCCTCAGGAGAGCCATAGTTGAGGTGACAGGCTGAATTGTGTCTCCCCCCCCCCCGCACCCCAATTTATTATAATGAAATCCTACCCCAGGACCTCAGAGGGTGGCTGTAGATGGAGAAGGGTCTTTACAGAGGTGATTAAGTTACCATGCAGTCACTAGGGTGGCCCTCGTCCCAAATGACTGGTCCTTATAAGATGAGATTGGGGCACAGACACGCACAGAAGGAAGGACACACAGAAGTCCGCCATCTCAAGCCAAGGAGCGAGGCCTGAGAAGAAACCAACCCTGCTGACCCCTTGATCTTGGACTTCCGGCTTCCAGAACTGGGAGAAATCACCGGCGATGGTTATAGCCGCCTGGTCTGAGGCACTTTGTTCCGGCAGCCCTGGCGGACCGCCACGGGAGATGACACGCCCCCGGGGCACCCAGGGCCTCCTGTGTGCAGTGATCCCTTGGGGACACTCCGCCCTGAGTCCTGGTCCTTGCCAAGGGCACAGTTCTGGGCTGGGCAGGGTTGCTCCAGGATGGTGTGGGGGCCCTGGCTCTGCCATCTCAACGCTGTGTGGCTTTGATCAAAGCTCTTCACCCTTCTGAGCCTCGGCTTGCTCCTTGGTGAGAGGGTTTGTCACCTCCCACTGTTGTTTCAGGTTGAAGCTGCTGATGCAGGTAAGTGACCCAGCTCATGGCTGCGCTCGGGGCCCTGGGACAAGGCAACCCCAAGCAGAGAAGGAAGGGAGGAGGACTTTCCGGAGAACAGAGGTGGTGATTCGCAGCAGGCTGGTGGGTCACGGGGCTGGTGGGTTGACCAGCTGTCCACGCTCTCCCCAGACCCGGGGCAGAGCCTGGGCCTGTGGCTGGTGAGAGATGGCCATTCCCAGCTGGAGCGGGGTGACGGGCTGTGTCAGGCTGTGGGGTGAGGGGCGCCCTAGATGCCCTGGCCCCGCCCTACCGGGCCAGTTTCCGGAGCTCATCCCAGAAGAGCATGCTGAGGATGGTGTGGGGGCCCAGGCGCAGGTAGGCGGGGCCCAGACCCTTATAGAGCGCCGTGGGTCCCTCCTGCCGCCAGATCTTCACCAGGCAGTCAGCCAGGCCCCGGTACAGCCGGCCCTGGGGACAGACACAGGGTGGGAGTCACTACAGGGGCCGTGGGGCCCTGGCTGGCACAACAGAGTATGTCTGTGTGTAAGGGCTTCTGCGGCACCTCAGAAAAGGCACCCCACCCAAGCTGGGGAAATTACAGAATGAAGGACCTTTACGTGGCAACATTTTAAAAGGAATCTCTTCCTTCAGGCAGCCCCAGCCCCAGCCAGGGGCTGTTTGGCTAGTGGCACACAGGTGGGTTTCATCCCTAACAGCCTGTGGAGGGCACCTGCGTTTTGGGCACAGCTGCACCAGCGTACGCGATGGCGGGCACCTGTCTGTGAGGCTGTGGGGTCAGGCCTGGATTCCAGTGCAGGGTCCTCCACACATACCAGCTGGGTGACCTCAGGCAAGTCACTTGATATCTCTGAGCCTCAGTTTCCTCATCAGGAAAATGAAGGTGGGTGTGAGGATGGAATAAATTCCAGATGTGAGACTGCTTAGCACGTGCCTGGGTCATAGGTGCTCCGCACACAAGCCGAATGAATGCGTTTGCATGTATATCACATGCCTGTGTGTCTCGGCTGTGTGTGTGTGTGTGTGTGTGTGTGTGTGTGTGTGTTGGGACGGGCGCTCTCCAGCTCCCACATCCTCGCCACCTGGTCCCCTGCTCACCCTGCCAGCTCCATCCACGGGCTGATTGTACAGCCGAGTGCTGACCACATCGAAGGGGGTCATGACCGCCACCACCGCCACACTGCTGATCATGCCTCCGGCCAGGGCCACCAGCCAGCTGTCCTCCGGGAGCCACTGTGGGGATGGCACAGGCTGCTGACACCTGCCGCTGCTCCCACCAGCCTCCCTCCACCTGGGGGAAGGGAGAAGACAGGGCCCCTCCAGCCATCCCCCACCCACATCTCCCCCACAAGGTCCTTCACACCTTCAGGGTTCACTGCTGGCCCCCCATTCCTGCTGGGCCCAGGGGTCCTATGGGGCCTTGTCTGTCACCACCCACTGGGGTTCCCTGTGGGAGAGTCCAGCTGGAGATGTTGAGGTGTGACTCGGGCCCAGGCAGAGAGGGAGAAAGGAGGCAGGTGGCCCTCCGCACTCCTGTGTGTCTGTGTCCCTGGCCCCTCACCTGTCGCTCCTGCACCCAGGCCTTGGCAGAGGCGAAGGTGGCCAGCTGGGCAGCTGAGCCAACCATGACTCGGGGCACAGCCCCGCCCACACCCCGCCACAGACCTGCCAGGCCCTGCTGCCGCCAGATGGTCTCCAAGGCGCCCAGGACGCTCTGTGGGGAGAGGGCACAGGGTCACTGGGCAGCCCCTTGCCCGCCCAGGAGCCCACCCAGCCCGGGGAGCTCTGGGGAGTGACAGTCCCACCTGGTGGTGGTGCTGGTGCCCCACAGCCATCTCGGCCACCGTCTGGGCCTGCAGCTGCGTTTTGACCTGTGAGAGCAGAGGTGATGGAAGGTTTAGGGCCCAGCCTGGGGAGCCTGGCTGAGCTGTGTGGGTGGAGGGCACCCTTTCCTGGTCGCCCGGGGCAGAGTGCAGGCCCGGGCAGCGATGTTCCAGGGAGCAGTCCCACCGGGCACCTGGACCTCCAGGAGCCCACACTGCAGCTTAGGGGGTGTGTGAAACAGGGTTGGGGCGAGTCTCCAGAGTTGGCCGGGTCTGCACACACCTCCTGTGTCTGCTTACCTTCGAAAAGCTGTTCTGAGGGCCGGGGGAGAGGACAGCGGTACCGCATCCAGCCTAGTGCCGGCCTGGCTCCAGGAAGCGTCATTCTTTTTTAAAATGTTTTTATAGAGAGAGTACTTATTCATTTTTTATTTATTTTAACTGTTTTTTATTGATTTTGAGAGAGAGAAAGGGAGAGGGATAGAGAGATAGAAACATGGATGAGAGAGAAACATCATTGATCAGCTGCTCCCTTTCCGCCCCTGACTGGGGATGGAGCCCACAACCTGTGCCTGTGCCCTGTCCAGGAATAGAACAGGTGACCTCTTAGTTCCTGGTTGATGCTCAACCACTGAGCTACACCAGACAGGCAGGGAAGCTTTATTCTTTTTCATTTTTTAATATGTTTTTATTGACTTTTTTTAAGAGAGAGAGAGGGAGGGAGAGGGATAGAGAGATGAGAGAGAAACATC